GTGTATGCATAAGTTTTACGTCTTAATTTTATAGTTGTGCATATTGATTTTCTCTTGTTTGGTTCAATTACGAGCATTGCGTATAAAAGTTTAAATAATTTTCATAAACTCATAAAAATATATATATGTATATATGTATATATTGTTTATAGAATAAGTAGCTTGTTGGTAAGTGTCATATATTTATGTTTTTTTTTGATTCGCTATAAATCAGTAAGCATAATTTATTTGCGTCGCAGTTATTCACTGAATTGGCTACGATCTGCAAAGGATTGTTTGTGCTCATCCTCGATGGTCGGTTTTAATTAATTACATATATATGTATATATGTATTTCCAACAATAAGTTTAAAAATAAAAAAACAAAAAAACGATAATAATTTTAGTGTTTTATATGTAAAAATGTAATGTATTTTATTAATGTTTGACATTTGTGACTACAGTGTATTCAGACGGTCACAAGCCAGTGATTGAGTATTTTAAGCAGTTTGGTTTGGTTATTGTATAATAAAAATTGGACACAAAACTTTAAAATGTAGAGCATGTTTCTAATAAATAAACGTATATAAGTATATATGTATGTAAGTGCATGAAAAATTAACAATATTTTTAAGTATAACATAAAGCACTTTAACATTTAACGTTTGCTTTTCTTTTGTTGATTTAATTTTTAATTTTTAGTCTCTATGACATGAAACAATAAAACTACAACAATAAATATAAATATAAGTATAAGTATAAGAAATTACTTGCAGTGCAATCATTTCCAAAAAAAGACGCCAATTCGCAAGTAAAATAATAATATCAAAAAAACAAAAACCAAAAGTTGACAAGACATGATTTGCGTTACGCTGATGAATTGCCTGACGAGTTAGTGTGTGAGTGTTCCTTCAATCTTTAATTGCTATAGGCAGTAAACATAGGTATATAAGTAATTACAAAAAAAAAAAACTGAAGCAATTGCATTACGTTGCGCCTAGTTGCCAATACACTCTTTACTCGCCAGTCATGACCTCCATGAATTCTATAAAGAGCGAAAATACAAACAACCAGTTACACTTACAAATCTTTCAGAAAGTAGTTCACCACCACTCACCATCAAAATCAACCGTTCCGGAGCCATCAGAATCGATTTCCTCAATCATCATGTCCAAATCGTCATTTGTCAACTTATCATCCAATTCACGCAGAATTTCACGCAGCACACCGGTGGTGATGTAACCGTTGCCCTCCTTATCGTACAAACGGAATGCCTCCTTCAGTTCGGCTTGCATCGCTTCAGCATCCTCTTCAACAAGGAAACGCGCCGCCAATGTGGTGAATTCTTCGAACTCAATTTGTCCCGAACCATCTTCATCGACTTCAGCGATAATTTCGGCAAGCATGGCATCGTCTAACTGATGGCCCAACATACTGAGAATGGTGCCCACCATGGTGGTGTTGATGTAGCCATTCTTCTCGGCATCGAATGCATTGAACGCGTTACGCAGCACTGTAAAAGGGATGGTGAGTTCAAAGCAATGAAATTTACATTATACAATGAGGTTTTAGAGGATGAAAAACTAAAAAAGGTATTTTCTTAAGGATATATCGATCCTTGCTCATAAAGACGTACGACACAGGTTAGATATTATTTTTTCTGGTACACTTTCCAATTTCACGCGATGAACATAGTTTAGGTTAGGAAACTGCATTTCAGGTGGCATTCTTCGTCAACTGAAACTCGTCTCACTCCGAAGTTGGTTCAGGTAGAAACAAATCGGTTATATTCTTAAAAAATCGATGAAAATAATTGCTTTTAAATAATGAGTGGCATTTTTTTTTTAAATCGTGGGATTAACTTGAAATTTGTTACTCGAGGGTTTTGGGGCCGCTAATTACGAATGCTAATGAATTTTCAAAATTCAAAATGGCGGATAAGTATTTTTATTCATACCCTCTGCAAAATTGGTCTAGGTAAAAAGATCGGTTATATTCTTGAAAATTCGGTAAAAATTTAAAATTGTTATTCACGGGTCGCTGATTACGAATATGATCATCAAATTTTAAAATTCAAAATTTCGGATCCAATTTTGAAAAATTTATAAACACATTCGAGACCCATAAAGGAATTTAATTTTTTGAATTTGGTACCTATATTTAGGAAATTGAGTATTTTTATACCGATATTCATACATAAGTACCCGATATTTTTACAGCGATACTTTAAATGAGTACCGTATCAATACTTTCGGTTTGATATCATATCACTAAAAGGCACGCAAGGGCACAGAGTGGTTCAGCCCCATATAGCTTTTGAGAAAATTAGATGGAGTTGGCGTATGTCCTAAATTTTTCGTATTTAACCTCGAAGGACATAAGTCAAGAAAAACCCGAAAACTGGGTGTGATCGATTTATTTTAAAACATACCTCCCATACAAGCTTAACCTCAAGAACGTCTTAAAGATGCCATTAAAAGGGCACCGATGAATTTAGTATTCCAAAATTCCGTCCATATGTTAACAGTAATAGAATAACTTAAGTGTGCAAAAAATATGCATAATATATTTACTTTAACACTTACTTCCCGTACAAACTTAACCTCAAAAATGCTTAAAAATGTCATTAAAATCCCACCGTTGAATGCACGAGTCCGAAATTTTGTCCATATATTTATAATAATATTGCAAATGAACAGTCTTAAAATTGCCTTAATCGGTTAATGTTTACGCACACCATCCATACAAGCCTAACCTCAAAAAATTGATGAATGAATTTTTAGAAAATTATTATGTATGTATATTAAAAACAAAACGAAAAAGTAGTCTCCAAAAAAAATTTCAAAAATCAAGGTTTTTTTTAGCCATTTGCGCTTCATTAGACTAAAATTGTATGGGCTATAAAACTGCATGCCCAAAAAATTTCAAAAAATTCAGAATAAAAAGTTGAAATTCTGATGAAAATTTTTTTGATTTTTCCTAACATTTGTATAAAGTTTGAAACTGTGATTTACACGGTCTTGGTTAAAGCTTGGACGATATTTTTTATAAAGATAACAAAAAAATTTAGCTGGAAAAATATTACGAATATTAAAAAAAAAAACAATACGTGGTCATTTATTTGAGTCACAGTAGGTCTTAATTGAGAACCTCTTGAGGTCTATTAATTGCAATCTATTAAAGTCATGTTCTTCTAGGTACAGTGACACTATGAACTGCAGATCGAGCCTTGTAAGGGCATAAGAGTTATCATGTGATCTGCTATGTTATTTTCTTAATCACACAGATTTCACTGACCGAAGTGGACAACTTCCATGTATGCAAATACTCAAATAACCTGCAATGACCAGCAAGAGACCACAAGGAGTTTTCCAAATCGGACCAAAATTTTGGTCTCTCCGATATTTCAATAACTAAAGACCCCCGTTTACTCCAAGTTAATCTGCCAGTAAGAAAAATTATTATAAAAATTATTATAACCTTTGTAAAACTATATAAGACTATATAAGTGTATTTCGTTAATCGATTTATTGATTTCTGCCAGGCCTGGTTCAATTATTTCATTCAGTCTAACTGAGCATATTATAGAAAATGTTTAAAATCGGCGAAAAGCATCCCTGCTTATTATGCAAAAGCGAAAAAACGGTATTCGATTTAGCCCGAACTTGAATTTATTTGTATAAAATTGGATTTGGTTTTTAGCAGACCTATACCCATTTTCAGCTTTCTGCGAAATGTTGTATGTATTTTGAAATTTGTAATTCAGCAGAACTAGAATAAACTAGACTCGCTTTTAATAATGCTTTCAACCTGAGCCTGTAGCTATGTGCTCAGATTTGCACACGCTTTGTGTTTTTCCTATTTTTATAGCGAGAACTGAAACTACATAGCGGGCTTATGACAAAAATTTGAAAGTTTACTTTTGATCGCTTTACACGAAAAATAGCCAAACACGCAATGTTTAGCCAGCCAAGCAATCGAATTTGTAACAAGATAAATTCAAAAAAAAAAAAATATATACAATACATTTTCTAGCTGCAGCTGTATATGCACGTACATATGTATGTACATATGTAAATGTTTCCTGGTAACTTAATTGTACATACATACATATTATGAACTTGTACTGTATGTAAATATTTACCTTTGAGTATTTATTTGCTTCTCCTTTATAAAAAAAAAAAATCACTTTCGGTTTAGCTTTCATCATAAAATTTTCTAATCACTGCGTAGGCGTTTACTGACACATTTTATGGCTTGTGGCATGCACCATACGGTGTAAAGTGTGCAGCCACTTCATTATGCAACTTAAGCGGAAATATTAAGCGGTGCAATACACAGTCGCGTGTGTTGGCGATTCTGTCAGTCAATTTGAAAGTCTAAGCTACTTGTTTATTATTATCTCGGTTTAACAACATCGTTGCGCGGACACAATAAAACTGCTTGACAAATCAAACAGTGGGGCTGCATGCGGATTGTCTGTTGTTTCTATTGTTTGTATTGTTTTTTTTTTTTTTGTAACTTGATTGTGACTCAGGTGTTTAGTATTTGGAATGGCATTAGTCGATTTGCTATAGAAACATATGTATAAATACATATGTATATATGCAGCACACTACTCTAAAAGTTTTGGACAGCTCTTCTAGCACAGTTTGTAAAATATGCCTTTCTATGGATAATATTTTTTGTGCAGCTACTGCTGCAAGAACGTCATATTCCAAAACAAAAAATTTGAATTAAGTGCTCACACACAGCCCTCCCATTTATTTTATGTTGTTTAAATTTTTGACCACTTTGCTCATTTGCACTATATTTGTCTTCTACAACAAGAAAACAAACAGTCTTTGATCAAAGCAAGGAGTTTAGTAGGTAAGGTTTGAGGACACCGTAGGAATAACAGTGAAAAAAAATTGCTAAAGCCATTTTATCTGCTTTCGGTACGTGCATTTGTTTTTTGATACCTACTCAGTACTGGATTCAAAAGCATCGATCCCAAAATTACTTGGTATCGAACGAAAAGTATCGAGTATGTGCTTGTATTTACTCGTATTGTTTCTTCCCTAGATTTAGTCTTTTCATGCTAATTTTTATTCGAAGGAATTACTTACATTCGATTTGGTCTTTGGAGAGTTCATCCTGAAATAAAAGGAAAAAAAATTGATATTAATACATGAAGGTACGATTCACAAAAAAAAATATGCATGCATATATATGTAATGCCGAGTCTCCACTAGGCATTGAAATGACGAAAAATTAGAAACATTTAAAAAATGCCATGCTGAAATGAGCTTAATGACTATTTTTTTAACGAAATGACACGAATATTTTTTAATGCCCAACTTTGTTATTAAAAATTTTGCCATTTAATGCCTAGTGGAGATCCAACATAAGTATATATTTATCAATAGAATAAGTCAACATATCAGTGGATTTTGTTATATGTAAACACACCATAAATACTCATATATTTATTACATTAATCTCTTAGTGTTTGAATTAATTGAATTTCAAATTTCAAGCCAGAAATTATTAAAAACTACTATCACTAAATTAAAACTAAATAGCCACGTAGTGATGGGCAAAAGATATGCTTCAAGCGTTCTTGGCGTGTATTTAACCCAAGCAGCCAGCATCGTTTCAGATCACAACCTTTTCGCAGCTAAGGTCCACAAGCAAGCAACTTCGCATCGCCTGGCTGAAAACCAGCGCCATCTCCCAACCACACCCCACAGAAATATCTGGTATCTAATATCTATGACGATGCTCAAAAAATCGCAGCATACCAAGACACCTCAAATCCGACGGCGATGAGCGCAACCACTGAGCGATGCCGGGAGAAAATAAAAAGAGAAGCAGAAGAATCTGAGTGTGAATACTTTAAGATGTTGGCGGATAGGAATACGGCTCGATAAGTGGTGGGATGGATGCCCCCGAACCTGGGCTTTATAAGACTAAAATATCAGAACCGTAACTTGTTATTAAGTTTTTATAATTAAGTTTTGAAAGAAACCAATGCGCATGTTTGCCTGCAGCCGGATTGAAACCTTGAGTCAAACGGCTAGGCTGGTAAAAGTTCTGAAGAAGGACCAAACCACAAAGCTGCGGTCACTCAAGAAGCTTGATGACACTTTAACGGAGATTAGGATTGAGGCACTCACTGTTCTTCTAGAGACTCACTTTCCTAGGAAACAGATGATAGTTACGCCTTCCTCTCCCACGACTGGAGAGGGAGGGTATGCGAGAGCCACAGTGTCAAGGTATGACTTCAGAGAAGCCTTTTGGAAGAGATTTAACTCTTGAAATTATCTACTACGTAGCACCTGTTCAATAACTTGCACTTTTTTGGCATTTGCCTGAAGCTACAAAATTAGATTTTAACCAAATAAACTAAACAGAAAGAAGGTAAACTCACCAGATATTGTCCAATGTTTGATTATCGATATTCGACTACTAATGACAGAAAGCTTAAGTTTTTTTTTTTCAAAGGCAAAATTTTCTAAAAATTAGATGGTTGTCTGCATTGACCTGCATTAAAAAAAACAGGGCAATTTAGGTGTGGACCAGGACACCAGGACAATTTGTTTAAATCAGGACAAATCCTCGAAAACGAGGATATCTGACAGCCCTACTATATTAGCGACAGAAGCTACAGGCCTATCAGCAAAACATCCTTCATGCTAAAATGCCTGGAAATATTGGTATATGTACGCTCTAAATAATGCATGTAAAACTACTACTGAGAAGTGTTTATTTCTCAACCATAACCTTTGTAAATATACGCAAAAGATGTTCAAGAATTGATTTTGAACATGAGATGTTTAAAAAATACACATGAAATGTTTAAAGTTGTAATAAGTTTTAAAGTAAAAATACATGTTTACTAATAATGAACATTAAGTGCTCATATTTACTCTATTTTAAACACTTTGTGTGTAATTTTTCTCTACGTGACAAATTTTGTAATTAAAAGTAAACACACAGTGTTTAATTTTGCACACATTAGGAGAGTAAACTGTTTAGCTATGCATAAATCTAAACAAAAACTTCTTCGAGCAAAATTTAAACATTTTATGTGTAAACTGTGGAATTGTGAACAATAAATTTTTAGAACTCAACAAACAAATTTGAAATTTCTACGCCACACATATGATAATTAAAATTAAACAAGCAGTGTTTAATTTAATTAACACGTTGTGTAAATTTGCATTCATTAAGAGAGGAAACTGGTTACCTATCTTAATATGCGCAAATTTAAACAACAATTTTTTAGAGTGTAGTTAAGCGCTCTCATCATACTCGGCGGGGAAATTCTGTGAGACGGCTTTGCAAAATCTGATTGCCAGAATAAGCAATTCCAGAATTCAACTTGGGCATATTTGTAGACATGGAGGGTGCTTTTGATAATGCCACCTACGATAGCATTTGCAATTCTGCTCAACGGCATGCTAATATTCTAAAAGATATGCAAACATGCAAAATATGTGAAAATACTTATGCGAAACATAATAGAACCAAATTAGCTCACTGCCTCCTATAATGAGTTTCTATACAGGTCTGGGCTTGCATAAATATCCGAGCTCTAGTAATGAGCTATTGTTAATTTTAATATAAATGGTTGGCCGAGCTTCTGTTCCAATTTTTTGTCTGCGTCCTGATGCTATTATAAAAATGGAGAGACCTACAATTTTGCGCTGCCTGCAAATGGCAAACGTTTTATGAGAAGCCTTTTCATAGCAGAAATTCACCCGGCGGTTTGTCATTGCCTCCCGAGCGCGACCGCTATTCGCAAAATCTTTTTCTAAATTTTAGAGATTAGGTCCTAGGTTAGTGGTAGCATTCAACTCAAATTAGAATTGGCTAAATATTCGAGAAAATTTAAATTGGTTTTCATATGCTAAAATTTGTTTATAACTTTTAAAAAGTTCGCCAATTTCTCCCACACGCTTTAACTAATTCATAGATTTTCATTATTTTACACTATCCTGTCGGGATACTCACCATGCCGTTGCTTTGTTAAAAACTAGTCACAAAACTTTCCGATACAGCAAAGGATGCTCACTTTTTTTTATACGTTTAGTAACAATAAGGACGACACCAGATGTTTTTAATAGGTGTGAGACGATACGTAACGGCACAACGAAGTACACAACAACGACTACGACAGCGACAACACGTTAAGGACAATGCAATAAATTTTGACTGCAAATGCGTTTTCTAATTACGATTGCGCTTGTAGTGTGGCACGGAGCGTGTTCGCGTTGGATGCGCGTACGTTTGGCAATGCGACACGTTGTTCGTTGGGCGTTTGCCACTGGGTGTTACACGCTGGCAGCGCTTTCTTTGGAGCCAACTAAAGCGCCAACAATTCGTAATGGTGTTGTTGTAGAGCAAACGATTATAAAGCAGTAGTTGTAGTTGCTGTTTTAAAAGTACTGGTATGCAGTTTTCTTTTGAGCGTCGAAAAAAAAAATAATAATGTTTGCTGCCGCCAACGCGCTTACACCTGTATGCCCAAAATATGCCACCTCCTGCTGTTTCGATTGAAGATGTTATAATAATAACTTGCAACTAATGAGCGCTTGCCCCCAGCACAACACAGCCCAACATAGTACGGCACAGCACAATTTAGCCCAGCCTAGGCCAGGCTAAAGGCTGATGGCTGGCGGCTGGGAGCGAAATGTGTGAAGATGACACCACGACCACGACCACGACCACGACGATGACGATAATGACTACGACTGAACGGGCCAAGCCTAAGCAAATGCTACATTAGCAAATGCAATGGGGAAACAGCAACAGCTGCCGCTGTCACTGCGCTGCACTGCGCTGCCCGGGAGGGAGTGATGGGCGGTGGGTATACGACGCGTGCTGCACAAAGTTTGCAGCAATGCATTATACACTTGTGCGGAGGGGTAATAGGTGGCGTACTTAATATGAGTGGTACTCACAAACCATTTTCAATTTGCTGAACAATGTTGCTTTGGCTACTATTAAACCCAATGCACAAATGCGCAAGGCATATTTGAGCGGTCCACGGAGAATGACCGAATGAAATAGTGTACAGGCTACACAAAATTAATCTCATTTACTTTCCGACGACGGCGAAGTTGGTCTGGCCACTCAAGACTTGCAGTAAACATCAAAACTCACTTGCAAAACTGTTCACTGCCCAGTGAAGGCCTCATATTTGGATGTCAATTAATGCAGGCTTCGGCTACCCCATGGCCAAGCGTGCACAGAAATAATTTTATGAACGTGGGCTTCGAATCGTTCCTAGTCGTTCTTGCCTAATGAGCTGGAATCGAAATGTCCTTGATGCATTTTCTAATAGTGTTGGGCTTTCAGGGAACACTTCTATTATACCAATCACAAGAAATTTATACCCGAAAATTGGGTCAGTTGCAGTCAGCATTCATTCAAGTCAAATGTCTTCATATTACCCTTGATGAAAGAATTATTTGGAATTCGTATCCATATAAAGTTACTATTTAGTTAAGCCAGAAGGATACTGTCGCTTATGCCTCCGTAGTTTGAAAAAAAATCGTCCCATCACGTTTAAAGAAACTCAAACCAGCCCACACTTTGCCAATATTTTCTGCAATTTTACATATTCAATAATAAAACACTCGATGGATTTTCAAACCTTAGCTCGTAATTTCATTTTGTGGTCTACTAAAGTTTTCCAGTCTCGGCCTAAGAACTTTTAAAACGTTGGAAAAATTGTTAAAATAAAAGTCTAAGCGAAATTAAAGTTTCAAACATATCGTCACTAGACACGAATAAAGACGCGAGCTCAAAAGCGGACCGCGAAAACCAACGCATAAAAAAACTTCAGCGAACAAAGACGCGGTAACCTATTTAACGGTGAAGAAATACGCGTAAACTCATTTTCGCGGTCAACTAGGTTGGAGGGCGTAACAAACAGTATATAAATACACCAAAGAGTTTGACCAGGTAAATTTTTTTACTCGTCTTTTCCCGACATTTTTTTTTATTCGTCCTTTTTCGCCGTCAAAACACTCGCGCGTCTTTATTCATGTCTAGTGACGATATCTAGAAAAAATTCATGGGAAAAATTTTTGTAGAACATTTTAACCCATCAGCTCCCGCCTGAAAGGCTCGTTTTTACCCTTATTTCAAGTAACCCTACGAACAGCAAATTTTGAAGCCCGTTAGAGGATTGATATGTGCTAGAAAATTATTCTTCAGAATATTTTACCAGGGGTCTTGTCAGGCAAAAACTTCATTACACCAAAATACACATCTCTAAAAAATTATATCAAAAAATGTATGCCAAGAAGGAATAACTATACTATATAAGCATACCTGGGCGACGCCTCGGCGTAGCGTCGCGTGTTTGTATACACGAAGTTGAAGCCGAAAATTAAGTGCAATTTAGCGTATTGGATTTTAACCGATTCATTATGAATCAATAATTAATTTTCGCTTAATTTCATTTATACGAACACGCGACGGTACCCTGAGGATACAGCGCAGTCGGCGTCGCCCAGACGTGTATATATGTATGTAAGTCATAAACTTTAATTTCGCTCAGGCCTTTATTTTAATAATTTTTTCCACTTTTTTGAGAACTACCCATACTCCGGCCATGGTATGATAATTTTAGTAGGCCATAAAATTAAAATACGAGCGAACTTTGCTAATCCATCAAGTATTTTAGTACTGGAACATTTAGAGTTCTGTCTGAAGTGTTTCCGTTCGTATTTTCCAAGGCAAATGTCGCTTATGTCACGGTGCCGCGAAATCTAAGTCCATGCAACGAAACTTCCATAAAGCGAACTCTGAGCTAATGGATGACCTTTCTTTGATACCAAATATGTACATTGATATACAGACATAGCGGTAAAGTACAAAAAAGAACCAATAACCCGCAGTACGCAAGCTATCATTTTCTCTGGTAGGCCAGACAGTTATTCAGGCGATCACCTCTTCCGCGGTTAGGTCGCAACTTTTGGACGATTGTAGGATAGGGTTGGCATCAATTCCTAAATACATGGCAATTAAGAATCTATGGGAAGGAGACAGCGGATTGAATAGCGGGCGCGGCTGTGCACTAAATACATTCCATGCTGTCGACATTTGTATGTAGATGCCCTGCACAGGTAAATCAAAAGCAAACTACCAAAATTTACCACTCGACCCACTTAAAACCAGAGATGAGATCTGTTAGAAAGGATTAGGCAAGGATGCCAAATCTATGAGTGGCCGACCCTAGCAACAGTGGGATTAAAGACACTTGGCCATGGTTGAAAAATACTTCAGATTGCAGCAGGCATTTTCTACAAATAATAGATTAATACCTTTTAAGGATATTAACACTCGCAAAATAAGGGCGCTGGGTGTGCGATTTCAAATTCTCTAAAATTTCATCGAATATGTATGTATTTGTACTTTCTTTGCCTCCAACAACTTCTTAGCTGCCAAATTTTCACCAATTCATCGTGTCATTCGCGCCGTGAAAATAGCCACAAACTNATTCGCCGCTTTGCGCCATGCAAAAGGTTGTTCGCCCGCCCTGCTGAATGTAGCCGCTGCTGAAGAAGAAACGTTTTAAAAATATACAAAACATGAATATTTAGAAATTTATTGCCGCATCAGTGAGTTGACGTGGCGGCGCACATCGACATATATACAAACATACCTTGGGTGCTTACATATGAAGGCAGACACAAAAATTCGCCTAAGTCAAATGCAGCACTAGTGTGTAACGGTGTAGGCGCTGTCAAATGCATCTTACATACATACATATTTGTATTAAGCATGGTGTTGTTGCAATGTTCTGAGTGAGTGCTACCTTAAAGATTGGCCAATGAAAAGTGCAGCAATTGCTGCAAATACGTACAGCCCCAGAGAGTCGCTTAGGGTGGTCCAAAAATGCATGTGAATTGTTTGTTTAAAATTTTTTTCATAGTAACTATGTATATTTTGTAGATCCGTGGACAATCCCTAAAAATGAAATGGGGGGACCCATCGAAAAATATTGATTTTCAAGAATTGTATGTGCTTTGAGCGATCGCTAGATATTTTTTATTTCAAAATAAACAATAGGGGTATATTTTTTCGGTATATGTAGAACAACCTTAGGGGTGAGAGCATTAAAATTGCGGATTTGTTTTTTTTTTGTACCACCCTAATGTGCATACATATGCATTAATAGACACTTACAAACACAAACATTTCTATGTTAAATAATTTATTTTGCAAATAATTTTTTTTTTTCAGCCTATTATTTTTGGCATAAGTGCTCGAAAATCTTAAAATTTTTAGTGCATATTGAATATTTACTTACAAGCAGACCAAATTTACTTACATGCATGCTTCAAGTGAACGCTGCATTTCATTTTACCGCACACTAGCAATGAAGCTTGAATTTTGTAGACAATAGAATTGTCGTTAGAATGATATTTAAAAGTGTATATTCAAATTGCATTGAAAATGTTTTAAATTAAATTTTTTTATTTATTTTTTTTTTAATGTATTTATTTTTGAGTTTACAGCATATTCATATACACACATAAGTATATATGTATGTGTGTAAGTATAATATTGATAAATGAATCAACGATTTATAGTGGTTTCTTATTTTTTGCTATAGCTTGCCCAAAAGTGCATCAAAGCATTCACCTGTACAGCCATACATTCGAACATACTTACACTACTTATGATAACTATAATAAGATTTTAGTTTGTTCGTATGCTTAACTGTATACATAATGTAGCTGCTCTCAACGGATCCTCGATTGAGGTGTAGTTCGCCTGTGATCGTCATTTAAGTTGTGTTCATAAGGCTACATATATTGCATGCCGAAATACATACATACATACATACATATATATACATATTTGCTCTGTTGTATGAAATGATGTTTGAAACATTTGTTGTCGTCAACAAAAATGCATTGCAAATTGAATTATTGCTGCTTGCTGCTGAAAACACTTATAAAAAGTGTCACAATCCCTTCGCCGCTTACTATTGAAATTCTGCTGATACAACTGTACATACATACATACATACGTATGTATGCTACTCATGCATTTAAATTCTGAATGAATAAAATTGAAAACTCGATTTAAGGGAAATTAAAATTGTATTGTTAAAAATAAATTCAATGACAAATCAACAGGCTTGCTGTTGAAGGATTTGAGAATTATCTATATTTATGAATATGTTTGCACATACGTACCTACATATATACATAACTCTCATTTATTAAAATCATGTCATATATGCCGATCAAATTAAAAAAAAAATTATTGGATTTGATGGAAACTCGAATCCCCCATTTTGAATTTTGAAAAAGATTCGTAATCAGTGACCCCAAGAATTTTTTAAAAAATATATCGCCATTTTGGATCAGCCATTTTTAATTTAAAAAAACTGACTTCGGGTGCCTTCTTATTGCTTTTGGTATTATGCGGCTCTATTTATTTTTATTTCTAAATTTTTATATTCGTTCGGAAAGGGTTAACAATGAAAAGCGATGGATAAATAAACCGGTTGTGAATGGTCAAATGAAGATGAGCAATAATTTTTTGTATGAAGTGGGAGTAGGAAATAATGTTACTCATACGCCATAGCGTACATGGCCGTACTCGTACATGATGNGGACGCCAAAAGTATCGCAAAATATAATGGGCATAATCAAAAATAAATTTAAACTAAGCTAGTTTGTTATTTATGTTAATTTTAAC